CACATTTTAAATATTAAGTTTATTTGGTTTAAGTAAACGATAGCCCTAATATTGCAAGTCGATTTTAAATTGTCTGGAATGTTACTAAGGCTTGTTTAGGATTTGGTGAGTTCACTAGCAAGTCTTGGACGTCGTTAATGATCGGGGAAGAGGTCGTTACAGACTTTGTATCAAATCTCTAGGTTTAGTTGAGTCTTAGGAATTCCTATATCAAGTAGCGGAGTAGTGTGGTTGATGTAGAGTTTTGCTTACAGTTAGTGACTGCATCATCGATTATAGGCAGGAGGCTACGAGGACTTTTTTATATTTCTTAGAAAGCCACCTTGTGTAACTATAAGAGTTGATTAAATAACGAGAATTGATTGTTGTTGTCAAAGTTTGGGATGCTGCCTCGGACACGAGCATTTTTGAAGGCTATAGGTGAACTAGACGCACCTAAAAAGACTGATGAGCGATAATGGGTTTTTGTCTCCCAAGGGCAAGGTCATCTTAGAATAAAGGGAAGGAGGAGTTCTTGACGTTCTAGTGAGGGTAGTTCGAGTTATCGAAGGAGTGCTAGTATAGATAGCACTGGCACTGGTGTACCTATTTTAAAGAGTGATTCTTTGGATGAATTAGTAGCTGGATTGCGAAATTGGACCCAACAGTTTATAGAAATTACTAGGCAATGTGCTGGTGTGACTGGAGAGTATATGGATTCAAGTTCACAAGATCCGGATTACGACCCAAATATAAATATGATAGAGGAGGAAGGGTCAGAGGAGGAAGATAAGAATGATTCGAATGATGACGAAAGAGATGATTCGATTTCATTATCTATATTTATGAAGCAAAAACCTCCATCATTTACTGTTTCCACCATGGGGGAAGACTCGTGTAGATTTTTGGATGTTATGGAAATGATTTGTTGTGCTTTAGGAGCTTTAAGCACAAGGTTAGTAACACTAGCTAGTTTCTATCTTGAAGATGTAGCGTAATAGTGGATTACATCCTACATGTGGGGTAGGCCTAGTAATGCCAGTCGGCTTGGTTGGAAAGAATTTGATAAAGCTTTTATGGATAGATTTATGCCTCGTAGTGTGCGAGTGGCTAAGGCTAAGGAGTTTAAGGCTTTGAAACAAACACCTGGAACGATGTTGTCTGAATATGATGTGTAGTTTACTCAATCATCTAGATACCTACCATACCTTGTATCTATTGAAGAAATGAGAGTGAATCGATTTGTGGCTGGATTGTCTGAGTATCTATTTAGAGCTGTTACTCTACAGAGGTTTGATTCCTATTCCGATGCAATGGATTGTGCTCGATTGATAAAAGGTAGTTGTATGGAGGTTGGAGCACTTCGTGATTGTATAGGAAAGACTAGGACTAAAAGGTAGACTAGTCAAAGGAACACTAGTCGAGAAATGACTTTTGGAAGGTCAAGTCAGCTTGGACGGAGGGATACTACTCAAAATAAAGGGCAAATGTCAATTAGGTCTCAAGGGTTGAGGAGAAACCCCAATTTAGTAGTCCACCTCGTCGTGGAAATTTTTTTGGAGTAAGTAATCATTGAGGATTTGGTAATGAAATGACAAGCCTTAACAGTCGACAGATGGGCCAGTGGAGTCCTTATTTTGCACGTTGTGATACTACATATGTGAGGCCATGTGCTCAGTCGTATGATGTATATTTTAATTGTGGTCAAGTGGGACATATGCGAAAAGACTGCCCCTATGGTGGGAGATTACAAGGAACTGGTCATGGGTATATGCAATTAGCATTAGTGATAGCATCTACAATTTCACCTTCAGCTAGGCAGGTCGACCCGATAAAGGCAAAGGAATAGCTTCTACCTCCCAAACTAGACCTATTGAGTTAGCACCGTGGGGTCTTTCTGAAGGACGACAAGTGAGAGTATTTTCCATGGGTCTGTAAGATGTGCTTGCTTCTAATGATGTGGTGACAAGTATTCTTTTAATTTATGGTTTTGAAGCATTAGTATTATTTGATCTTGGAGCGACCCATTCTTTTGTTTCCTCGAATTTTGTATCAAAATTGAATAGACCTTGTGAAATAATTATAGACCCATTGGTAGTGACCACTCGTTTTGAAGAGATTTGTATAGCAGAAGTTGTTTATAGGTTTTGTGTAGTTCAAATTAACCACCGAGAGACATTAGTGGATTTGGTATTATTAATGACATTGGGATTTGATGCGATATTGAGATTGAATTGGCTATACGATTTTATGCCAATGTCGATTGTCACTATAAATATGTAGAATTTAAGTTTCCCAGAGAAGTTTCGTTTATCATCTATGGACATTGAAGCCTATGTAATAAGGGGATATTAGTGGGAGTCACAAGAGTGGAAACATAACAGAATTATTTGGCGTGTGTAGTAACCAAGGAGGATGTGTTAATGGAGGAAGAGGTGTCAGATATTAAAAGGGTGCTAATTGTCAATGAATTTGAAGATGTGTTCTCGGAGGAATTACCAGGGTTGCCCCTAGAAATGAAAGTTATGTTTTGCATTTATTTGATTCCAGGTATGGAACCAATATCCGAAGTTCCTTACCGGCTGGCACTAGTAGAGATGCGAGTGCTACGAAAGCAATTGCAAGAGGTAGGGGAAAAAAGGGTTTATTCGTCCAAGTACTTCACCTTAGGGAGCTCCAGTATTATTTGTAAAGAAAAAGGATGAAAGTTTGAGGT